CCATGGGCGCCAGTTTATGTGCCAGGACTTTTCACTCAGGTCACTATCTGAAGCAGAACCAGTGCTATATATAGCTGGTCGGCCTTGGTCTGAGTAGGCATTCTTCAGGCATTCGTGGAGGTACTAAGTAGCGGTAGCTGTAGTCAACGATAGGATGGCGGTAGTCTTCCAGTGCTGGGCGCTGCGTTAGGACTTCGGCAGCGGAGGTTGGAGGGAGACTGGCTATGGGAGAGGCCAGGGAGACTCACCTGATGACGTACCTGTTATGCCATCGCTCCAGATTCGTCTTCAGTTGGTCCATACCTGCATCAAGGCTACACCTTTTTATGGGTTAGTGCCTGGTATACACACACACACACATAGAGAGAGAGAGAGAGAGAGAGAGAGATCTTCTCCCTCCTCCCGGTCCATTGGTCTTCTCCTCCCCCTCCAGCGCTCTGGCCCCCTTTCTCCTTTGTCAAACTATGAGAGAGAGAGAGAGAGAGAGAGAGAGAGAGAGAGAGAGATTTGTGACATTGGGATCAGACTTGACATTTGAGCAGAGACATTGTGGGGGATTATTGTTGGGATTGATATCGATGACACTCTGGGTTGACGACATCTCCCCTCTTCTTCCCCCTCTTCGTCTCTCGTCCCCCCTTATCCGTGTATGCATCGGACCTGGCGCCCTTGTCTATGTGTACTGGTGCCAGGCCGCTCAACACTGTGTGATGATGACGATGATGATGTTCAGTCTGTGTCACGTCATTGATTGGGTCTGATTGTTGGTATTTCGGTGTTCTGCTGTGCTATCATTGCTCCATCTTTGAGAGGTGGGTTCTTCGTGCTGGTCTGCACCACTCTGGCATGCGACAGGGTGGTATCGGAGCAGACCTCCCAGATGAGGATCTGCCCAATCAAGTTACCATCTTGATTGTGTCAAAAGATTGATCGGTCAATTGGTGAATTGATTGATTGCTTGGTTGATCAATTAGTTGATTGATTGATTGACTGATTAATTGATTGATTGATTGATTAATTAGCTGATTGATTGGTTGATGGATTGATTGATTGATTGGTTGACTGAGGTGCAAGTTGCGTTTGGAGGAAGTTCCTCCTCGCTCATGCAGTAAATACATCCGCGTGGAGGTATGCCCCCGTCTTTGAGAATGATCTTGTGTCAAATTGACCGATCCGGTATGATTTCGGTGGGGGCTTGGAAGACGTTGCCGGAGTTGAGAAGCTCTACAATGCGTCGATCCGGTGGCACTTCCGTTGCTGGCTCACCGGGAGGAGGGAGGGCGTGCAAGAAGCAAATGCCCACTTCTTCCATCTCTTGCCGTGTTATAGAGTTGCGTTTGCTTGTCGTGGAGACTATGTGACAACCAGATGCCCACTTCTTCCATGTCTTGCCGTGCGATAGAGTTGTGTTTGCTTGTCGTGGAGATTACATGACAACTAATCGAAGGGTGAGGTGGAGGAATCGTGCATGGGATGAGTATCCCTTTCCGGTCATGAACGTGAACGGTGCGGCAATAGAAGTTCACCGGGTGGTCCTCGCTGTGCAGCCACGACATGCCCAAGATCATGTCAAACTTGGTGTCCAAGATGTCAAAGGACATGGCCTCGCATGCGTGCGGGGCGAAGTACACGCGTGCCGTGTCAATGCACTGGTCGATAGACTTGTGCGTGTGACCATCAGCCAACGTGACTGGCGTGGGCCGCAACTTCCTTCGAATGAGCGCGCCAAGGTGGTAAAGCTGGTTTGCTTGCTGACGGTGATGAAACCGCGCATATGTAAGAGTCTTGCACGTGGAGGGGTAGGTCCAATGGAGGGACCAGCTGGACAACATAGTCTTTGAAGTCTTCCCGAAGATGTGTAACATCCGCATGCTCTCCGGACGTGTAGGATGTTGCTAACAAGGCAACCATGTCCGGTGGAATGGGAAGTGGAGTTGCCTTCAGTTCCCGCAGGGCTCAGTTTCCTGAGCTTTGCCATGAGCGAACGTCGTCTTTTGCCCTTGTTGGGGCATTGAGTTGAAGTGTGCTTGGTGCTTGTATTGCTCCTCTGTAATACTGAACTTTGTCCATGGCTGGTTCGGCTGTCCGGCTTCTGACGTCGATGCGGGTTTACTTTCTTCTTTCGTGTGTTGTTGTGTTGCGATGGAAGGGTGTTGGCTAGGTTCCTTCACTTGACATGGGAGTTGATGTCAGGTCTTCATTTTGTCCATTTGATTGCACTGCAGTAATGGGCTGCGTCTGTGTCCTTTACCTTTCTCCGCGAACTTTGGCTGGCCTTGTCGTTTGTTGGTGGCATGCTGATTGGTTTTGATGAGGGAGTGAGCTTGAGTTATGATTGTGTTGAAATCTTTGTAGTCCTCCACTCGTGCAAGGGCTTGGGTCAAGGAGTTGACCGATCGCTTAAAACTCGTGTCAAATGTGTGTTGATCCAAAAAGGCAACGGTCTCTTTTGCCATTTGGTCAACCATTCATGCGTTGGCTGGCTCCCTTGGTACATTTGGAAAACTTTGTTGATACCCTTGGCGACACCATCCTGTACGATGAACCATGCTTTCCACAGAGCTTCCACTGTGTCCCAGTCCAAACTTGGTGTGCAAGCGGTCCATGTTGACTCCTTCCTTGACCGCGAGGTCGTTGAGCCAACATGCACCTGCAGTGTTGAGATAGAGTGCCGCGAGCTGAAGGTGTTCAGGGATGTCACGGAAACTCAATTCTGTGGTAAAGCCTTGCCACCATGCGAGTGGTTCCTGCTTGGTATAGTTGTTGAACTTCTCGATGTTGAAGTTGGGCATCTTGTAGGGGCGTGGGGTGCCGTTGCCGGCTGGTTGCTGCTGCATCGTGCGGACGTCGGTCTTCAGCATTGTGAGCTGTTGGCTGAACGTTGCGGGTCTTGCGAACGTGCCCAGGTCGCCAATTGTGATGACCACATGGCGATTCCGTTCCTCCAGCTCTTGCGTTGATGGTTGGTTGCTACTAGGTCCGGCGTTTGCTGAAGCGGTATTGTCGTGTTCCAAATGGTCGAGACGTGCATTGAAACTGTGATTTGTATGACTCTGCACGTCCCAAGTTTCGTTGATGATGCGCTCCAGCCGCTGTATTCGTGCTGCTGCCAATTGCAGGTCAGCAGGAGTCTCACAATGGGCTTGGAGGTCTCATCCTTTGTCTTTTCTTCTTCTGACGGTTGGCTGTGACTGTCTATGGGTAAAGGGCCAACCGGGAAGTGTGGCTGCGAACTCCAGCTCTTAATGCTGCAGGCTTGTCAAAGCCTCTTGTCGCAGGTGCTGGACTGCATTTGCTGTTGCCTCCTGCTGCCGACGTTGAGCGGCTTCCTGCTGTTTCCATAGCAATTCGGCTGCAGCCTCGGCCTGCCACTGTTCCTCTTTGGCCACCAGCTTGCTGAAAGTGAGGACGCGGGTGGCAAAGTCCGAGATGGACTCGCCTGGCTGTTGGCCTGACATGCCTTGGAGTATGGGACTACCAAGTCCCCGTTCACTGGAACTGCCAACCTTTGAGACTTCGGTAACTCCGGAGGTGGCTGACATGGCCATGGTTGTGGCCAGTGTCGGCTGTGGTATCCAGAGGGCTGGTTGGGGATCGCCTCGTGCAGGAACGGCGCCCTGTTGACGAGCGGCGATTTGTGGACTGTACCTGAGCATTCAGGCTGCTGATGTGGCACTGTGCTGACATGGCACTTGCTGACGTTGCAGATGCTGATGTGGCACTTACCAAGCCGAGAGAAAACAAGAAGGGGAAGGGAAACAATGCAGGCAGGCGGACAATCTAGACGGCAATTTCCATTCCTGAATACTGACCTACCAATCGAAAAATGAAAAAGAAGAAAGAACCTCTTTTTTTTTTTGAACGTCTGTCGACTGTGCGTCAGTGAGGCATTGTCAGTGGGTTATCAATTACCCAGCTCACAGGTGAGGCAGCAGTGAGTAAGAAAATAAAAATTCGTGAAAATTCGGAAGAAAATAATTTCGGAATTGTGTATTTGTCAGCAATTTATGTGAATTTTCGGAAAGTAGCAAGATGGGGAATTTTGGAAATTTCGAACTTCTCTACTTCTGTAAAAAAAGTACAAAAACACGATGTAATTATGAATTTTTCATTTGATCCAAAAAAACGAAATTCTAAAAAAACAAATTGTTGGGGTAACCTTGATTAGACCTAGTTGAAAATCGCAGATTTTGCAAATGTTGTGAATTCGCAGGATTCTGAAATTTACGGATTTCACAGAATTCGTGGAAATCTTGTTCCGAAATTTTGCAGAATTTCAAAATTCATGGAATTTGCGGAATTTCTGGAAGTTTGATGCTTCCCTTAATGCGAATTTGAGTTAATCAAGAAAAAAAAAAAAAAGTCAATTAATCATAATCATCAGTGGCCATTCCATCCTTGATTAGCCCTAATTGAAAATCGCAGATTTCACAAATGTCCGGAATTTGCGGGATTCTGAAATTTATGGACTTCATGGGATTCGCAGAAATCTTGTAATTCCGAAATTTGCAGAATTTCAAAATTCACGGAATTTCCGGAATTTCCGGAAATTTAATGCTTCCCTTAATGCGAATTTGAGTTTATCAAGAAAAAAAACTAATTAATCAATTAATCATAATCGTCAATGGCTATTGTGCGTCTCCTCCATGGCTTGATATCGGGAGCGCTGATCTCTCCACGCATTTACTTAGAAATGCCTACCTTGACCATATCGCCAACCGAAGGGCATTAGTTGTGCAGAGAAGAAAAATAATCTATGTTGTGCAGAGAAGAAAAATAATCTATGTTGTGCAGAGAAGAAAAATAATCTATGTAGTTTTGGCATAGTGCTGTCAGGTTCTTGCCCACTGTCCCTTTAATTGCATAGAGTTATTGACCACTTTTGCAATATCGGTTTGAATACAGAGATATATATGGAGGAAGTTGAACATGATTGCGTTTCATGCGTATTGTTCGACTTGTTCATCCTCGTTGATTTTCTTTTTGTCATGCTACTGCAGGTACCGTATGACAAGCTTGCGCCAGGGGCACAGGTTCGGCAGCAGACGTATGTTTCACACCCTTGGGTCTTCAGGGATGCCGCTACAGCAGAGCAGCTTGTTGTCGATCGCCGGCTGGTGAGTGGAGAGGGAAGTGTGTGAGATGACAGTGAATCTTATTAATGCTAGTTCATTGTTCTGCCATGGAGTGTAGTGTGTGGGTGTATAAGTTATAACATTGGTAGTCATGGGCTGCTTAGGAACAAAGGAGAAGTGGGGTTGTATGCTACACAACCTAAGTGGAGGTGCATCATGCAGCCTCCTGCCACTAACTGTTTTTGAAGTATGATGATGATGAAACAGCCTGTCACTTCCTTTCACCGTTTTTGAAGTGTGATGATGCAGCCTCCTGCCACCAACTGATACTGATTGTTTTTGAAGTATGATGAGGATGATGAAACAGTCAGTTGCATACACTGCCACATGTGTGTGTGTGTGTGTGTGTGTGTGTGTGTGTGTGTGTGTGTGTGTGTGTGTGCGTGTGTCTGTGTGCACATGTGCTTGTGTGTGTGTGTGTGTGCTCTTGTGGGCGTGTGCTTGTGTGTGTGTGTGTGTGTGTGTGTGTGTGTGTGTGAGAGAGAGAGAGAGATTTTTCGATTGGTGGGATGAGCAGCGTGCTGGCCAACAGGTAAGTCTCCAATCCCATGGCCGGCCTCATGCTACTTCCATCGAAAGGATGAGCAAAAATCGAATGAATCTTCCGCTAGAACATGGAAATATACACTACTACACTTGTGTGTGTGTGTGTGTGTGTGTGTGTGTGTGTGTGTGTGTGTAGAGTTTTCCAGCCATGCATGCAGAGAGATAGCGAGAGGCTACTTCCATCGATAGGATGAGCAAAATCGGAATGAATCTTCTGCTAGAACATTGAAATATCCACTGCCATAGTCCATAGTATAAGCGATGATCCAGATTTACGTTAGCGGCAGATGGCCACCAACCGCTGCCGCACAACTGATACTCGGAGGTGGACCTATGCCCTCTGGGGTACTCGTGGGGAAATTCAGAGAAGATTATCGCCTACCAATGCCTGGCGGAATATCCTAGAATCTGCAGGTTTGTGCCACCCTAGAAAGCCATGAACTACAATGTCTAGTTTCACGCCACCCTGAAAAGCCATCGGATCCCCCAACAAAACAAGGACAGGCCGGCCACAGCAAGAAATGCATGCGGGACATACTTCTTGCAGTAGAGGCACTGCATGGCTGCGTACTGAAGGCTGCTACCGCTTGTGCTCCAGAAAGGGAGAGAAGACAAGGCGCGGGGAGTGGTGACGTACGTTAGATGCCATGCAGTGCCTCTACTGCAAGAAGTACGTCCCGCATGGTTGCGTACTGAAGGCTACTATGGCTTGTGCTCCAGCTTTTGTCCCTGTTTTAGCTGGCCATTTCTTGAAACAGTTCTTTCAACTACGATATGTTAACTCTCTACATCTTCCAACGGAAGCTTGAAACTCCAGCTTTGTATTTTTGTATATTTTTGTATATATCTGAGTTTCTTCCTAATGTGGATGCTGTCAGGTCCTGTTCCCAGAGGAGGAGGAGAAGGTTGTCCATGTACGCAGACCAGAAGTTCTGGAGTGGAACCTGGACACTCACAGAAGATTTCCTCAGGACTTCCGAGAGCAAGTCAAGGAGATTTTGCGATGTCATCGGAGAGTGTACTGCGGTGGGCACAAGAGCAAGTGCAGCACAGGCGATGCTTTGCCTCTTGCTGATGGCCCCCCTGCCCAGGTATGAGGGAGACCGTGAGAGAGAACTGTGAGGTTGAAGGGGACAGGGAACAGAAGGTGGAACGCATCTCGCCCACCTGCCCAGGCACAGAAGGTGGAACGCATCTCGCCCACCTGCCCAGGCATGGGTGTGAGAGAGAATAAGGGAATGAAGTGAGGGGAGGGGAGGGAATGGGAGAAGGGAAAAAAAGGAAGTAAAAACCGTAAGGCAAAAAATGCTTTTTCAGCCAACGTAAGTCTTGACTTTCTTCACGGATTTTCAGGGCTTGCTAAAACAAATATCAAACTTTACATGTGCACACCTCCACCAAATACAAAACACACTGAGAATTTTTAAAATACTCTCCCCCCAAAAAAAAGAAGAAAAAGCACACCCAGACTTTCATAAAACGCTGCAGCCAGGGCAAAAAAAAAAACAAAAAAAAACACCCCTTTGGATGTGATACCAGGTAGATACCTAGCCCAAAGTTGTTGTGTGAGTATATGCCATCAGTGAGGGTGACACGGCAAGGGTGTCAGGTCCACGAAAGAAGGAAGAGGGAAAAGAAAAATGAAACTGAACTTGGAGGGGGAAAGCGGGTTCATACATTCTGCAAAGTAATAGTGTGGGCATGCCATTCTCCTTGCAAGTGTTAGCAGCCTGTGTACTGCGTGCTGTGCCTCCCTGGTGGGCCATCAAAACAAAGAAAGAAAACAAAAAACACAACAATGAAAACCTGAAACTGGCTACTATAGTGGTTAGATACAAACGTGTGAGTTTTGGTGCGAGCACAACTTGGTGCACGGCCTTCCCCTGACATGATCTTTTGTTTTCCTTTTTGTTTTCCGAAGGCCCAACTGCCGAGCCTCGACCAACCGGCGAAAAGTCTTGAACATCTGTCCCAAGAGTGACAGAGGTAGTAAAATGTATAGGTGCGACTGTGCGAGTTATATGGAGAAGTGGTCCAAGGCTGAAGGTTTATCATTTACTTATTACCTTCCAAAGTGGGGCACAAGTGGTTAATGCGTTTTTTTTTTTTTTTTGTGGGTAGTTAATATGGTGTCCAGTCTGTGAATTGGTGGCACGTTTGGTGAAAATGGCCCCTCGGGTTTGGTTAAAATGGCCCTTGTGTGTGTGTGTGTGTGTGTGTGTGTGTGTGTGTATCTTGTGTCGTGCGTGCGTGTGTGTGTGTGTGTGTGTGTGTGTGTGTGTGTGTGTGTGTGTGTGTGTGTGCATAAGGATGAGGGAAGAGAGAGTTGGTTGTCCTTTTGCAGGAAGAATAGCACAAATTCGTGTATCTCGTCGTGTGTTACATGGCACTGTTCTTAGTGCTGTTGTTTCTTTCTGTGTTCTCCTGGTGATTCCTCTTTCTTGTGGACAGCGGTCAAGAGGATCCTCTCCGAGTATGGATGCTGAGATGCCGATTGATATGCTCGGGTGTAGATTAGGGCAGCTACCTCCAGACCTGTTACTTCTCATTGTGAAGTACTTTTCGCCAACCATTCAAGATATCCTTCCCTATGAGGAAACAACGGTGGTTACTTGAAAAGCCACATCATTCAAAGCCGCCCTCCTTTTGTTCAGATCATTATGTTCTGCTGTCACTTCAAAGTGCCACACCGTGCCCTTTTATTATTGTGCCGTGACTCAATGGAACGGGCTGTCACAATTGGACAGTTGTGTATCATGCGGTCTCCACAGTTGTGTATCATGCGGTCTCCACAGTTGTGTATCATGCGGTCGCGAGTTTGACAAGTATACTCAGCTGAGGGCATACTCGTCTCTGGACGCACTTCCAGTCGGATGCATGCACTTGCTGCCGTAATTCCGGTCAGATAGACCAGCGGCATCCAGGCGAAAGTGAATAATGTCCGAAGAGCGACATCCCAGTGTGAGTACATTCTGATTCTTAAATTTATTCCAACTCCACGATGATTCATTCGGTCGGTTGTTACACTGTTGAACAGTCTAACAGTCTAACAGTCAAACAGTCGGGGTCAATGCAGCGATGGAAGCTGTAAGCTTTCGGAGTATGGAAGCTGTATCCAAGTGCGCTTTCGGAGTGCGATGAGTACTTGGCTTCAAGCATACAATAACTTGCAGATAAGCCATGTGCTCTGTCGAAGGAATGGTAGAGGGCAGGTTCTCCAGTAATGCGATGCGACTATGTGCCCGTTGGGCTTTGGGTTTGGAAGGGAACGCAGCGTTTCCACTTGGGAACCAGTACCATTCCCACTTCCACTTGCGAAGCAATGTCTCTGAGTTCCTGGCGGTGAGCAACGCACTTCCGCGGCATCGAAGCAGTTCCATCAACGTGCGTGCTTTGTCGGCAGTTTGTCAGTGTGATCGGCTTGACTTTGAGCGTGCAGAAGCTGACAGAGGAGTTCTGTGCTTCATGGAGGGAGCGGAAGAGAGAGGCTTGCCTGTGTGATCGACACACGATCGACTCAATGCGACTATGCGCTGCCTGGCCTTTCTGCTCTGAAGGGAATCCGGCGTTCCCTCTAGCGAAGAGATCGCTCTTCGGCCGGGCGGTAAGGATGCTCTGTTTTCTTCCATCGGGAGTCGGAAGCGGTTTGCGGCTTGGGTGTGGTGGTTCTACCAGGTGTTTGTTGAGAACATGCCCAGAAGTGTAGATGCTAAACAAATCGTGGAGCCTTTCCGTGTGCGGGCTCGAAGATTGAACCGGTGGCAATGGGGATTGATGAGAGGATGTTTTGCATTCAGACGTCGTTTGCCCGAATTGGATTTCGGCGATTTAATACAGGGCGGAGCAAATGACAGGGTGGGGAGGGGGTTCCGATGGGGCTGCGGGAATTTGTATAGAGGTGAGTGAGACCGTGTGATGGTGATTTATCAGTGATAAGTGCAGCTATTCTTTTCTTGAGGACCCCTGTAGTTGGGCCTGTACCCTAATCTGTCTCTCTAACCTATTCTTTGGTCATTCTTTACTGAATCTTTTTTTTGGTCTATTCACTCTATTCCTATACTAGCCTTTTTTTTTTTGTCTATTCCTTAGTTAGTTTAATATTTAATGGCCTTTGAAGTTTCAACAGCCTTTCATTAATTATGATCCTAGTCTCTTGGGTCTTTAGGGTTTAGGGTTTATGGTTCCTGGTTTCATTCAGATTAAGTGCCGCACCGGGCGGTGACATTTGCCGTGCTTGGGAGGGTGTGCTACGGAGTGGATGTGGTGGCAGTCACTCTCCTCGGAAGCATCTCCTTTGCCGTTTCCACTCTTGGTCGGGTCGAGGACGCGTTCGGTACTCTTCATCCTTGTGCAGAGAGAATTTCTTTGAAGTGAAAATGCGCCTCACTGGACGTAGACCTTAAGAGCTGCTGTAGATATGCTTTGGAAACCTTTTTTGAAGTTTTTTTTCCTTCTTTCTGCCATTTTCCTTGTGAAGGAGAGCGAAGTGTCGGCGGAGAATCGAGGAGCGCAAACTGCACGTTTGGCACTGTTTCTGATCGCGAATTCTAACTACTACCAACGATTAGCTCTGCCCCTCTCACGAGACACGGCATATTCACGCTAGCACTTTTTCGTTTGTTTCTGGATGGAATTGCAGCCAGATGCATGCAGATCCGGCAACAAATGCGGCCAGATAATGTTAGTGTGAGTATGCCCACAGAGTATGAGAGGATGGAGGGGAATCCGAACCGGACTGCGGATGTCAACTACGGCGTTGATATGGGTGCCACACACGAGTTTTGCTGAGGAAACATTGCTCATGCCAGACGACATGTAGGATTTCCGATAGCAATGCGGTTCAGAAAGATTTCGGTAGAAGCATCGGGAATGTACGAACCACGTTGATATCCACATTCATGACAGTTCTCGGACATATGGGGGAGACTTGCCAGGGCAGGCTCTTGAACAAGCTTTGGGTTTCTGGCCTTCTTTCCTGATACCCATCGCCAAGGTAATGTATTGATCACCCCACTAACACCGTTAAGTCTTTTCCTGGCACCGAGGAACTGTAGACCAATTCGTGGGATAACCA